CCCCCACACACACCCAGTCCCCGATTAGTTTTTCTTACGTGACAGACAACTCTTTACATTTAAAAACACATACCGTGTTAAACAAAAGATATATTTTTATCTCTTTGTAATTTGTTAGATTCTAAGTCTTAAATACCTTAATTTAGAAAATCTTGTTGATTTTTTCCTACGGCTATTATTGCTGTTTGCGCAGCCATCTACTTTGTCAGGTGGCTGTGAATGCTTTGTCTTTTTTCCCCTTGGTAGGTGACCGTCCATTTATCTACTTCAGTCATGGGGAATGAGGTACAGAGAGCAGCGGAGGCAGCAGCTGCTGCGGCAGGCTTAGATGCTTCAGACCTTGGCGGTGAGATGGACTTTGAAAAACTGATGCAACTTCTGGGTCAAGAGAACAGTGGCCAACAGTTCGCAGATTCATCAGACTCAGATGGCGAGGAAGACAAAGATGAAAAGAAGAAGAAGAAGAAGAAAAAAAAAGCTGACATTGGAATAAGCGATGATGACCTCTACAGACAGCTGAAGGACAATGCAGCACAAGGGCAGACCACAGGGGCTGAGGCTTTAATTATGTGTGCTGTGATGGGACGCAGTGCGTTGATAGCTAGGCTTCTCAATGAAAATCTCAGTGTCAATGCTCAGGACAGGGAAGGCCGAACAGCTCTGATGATGGCATGTGCAGTGGGCAACGAGAATTCTGTACAGCTGCTGTTAGAGCGTAGGGCAAACACTAACTTGGTGGACAATCATGGGAACCCTGCCCTTCTTGTGGCTCTTGTTGCCAAACAAGAAAATCTGGCACGAGAACTAATTGACCATGGAGCCGAAATCAATGTGAAAAACAATAACCATGACACCCCTCTGCATGTTGCTTCTGGGAAAGGCTTGAATGATATTGTCAAACTGTTGATTAAAAAGGGAGCGGATGTTAATGCAAAAGACCTCAGACAATGGACACCGCTGATGCAATGTAGCCAGCACAATCTGTACGACACTGTTCAGATCCTTGTCGATGCAGGGGCCAATGTTGATGAGACTCAGGTATCAGGTGGAAGTGCCTTAGAGATCAGTGCTCACAACGGCCACGTGGAAAATGTGAAGATCCTCCTGAAGGCAAATGCAGATATCAATCATGCTAGTAAACCAGGGTGGACACCTCTAGCTTCTGCTGCTGGTCAAGGACATTCACAGGTGGTGAGCAAGCTCATTAAATACGGCGTTGAGCTGAATCCAACAGACAAGCAGGGAAGGACTCCGCTTTTCCAGGCTGCGTTACAGAGTCACAGGAACGTTGCTGAAATTTTATTGAAAGCAGGAGCTCACCCAGACATCACTGACAACAAGGGAAGCACGCCGCTGATGTGTGCTTGTCAGGAAGGTAACATTGGGATCGTAGAGATTCTACTAGACCATAGTGCTGATGTCCTGCTGACTGACTATGAAGGATTGACCGCACTGTACATGGCAGTACAAGGCAAGCACAGACAGATTGTGAGAACGCTGCTGTCTCAACACGACTGGCCATTCCCTGGGATAAACTTGAGGGTGAAAAAAGGCACATCTCTTCTACTCCGAGCTGTAACCAGCGGAAACCGTGATGTCACAAGGATGATAATTGAGGCCGGTGCTGATGTCAATCAAACCGATGATGACGGCAAAACCCCTCTGTTGGTGAGCAGTCACCAAGGTTACCTTGAAGATGTACGGATGCTTCTAAATGCTGGGGCCAGGCCGAATGAATGCGATGATGATGGTGACTCACCCCTAATGATGGCTGCCTTGAAAGGTCATCTGGAAATTGTTAGATTGCTGTTGAGTTATGAAGCCTCTGTGCATTTATCCAACACAAATGGAAGGACAGCTCTCATGAACGCTGCCTACAATGGACATGAAGATGTGGTAGAGTTACTGTGTGAGTGTAAGCCTGACCTTAACGCTGTAGAACATAACGGATGGAACGCTCTCATGTTGGCAACTCAGTTCGGACACTCAAAAGTGGTGAGATACTTGCTAAGTAAGGATGTCCCCTGTGACATGCGCACTAAGAATGGCTTAACTGCTCTTGGCATAAGTGCAGGCAATGGGAAGTTTGACTGCGTCCTGGCTCTTGTTGACAAAAATGCCGATGTTGATGCTATGGATGAGAATGGCAGCACACCTCTTATTTTGGCATCTGGAAAAGGTCACTGTCGTGTCGTGGAACTTCTTCTGAATAACCATGCAAATGTTGATGCATCCAACAGTAAAGGGCATACCGCCCTTCTTCTTGCGGCACACAAAGGGTTTGACAACGTTGTTCAGTTCCTTCTGAACAAAGGTGTCAAAGTAAATGTGGCTGACTGTGATGGGGATTATCCAATCCACACTGCTGCTTTGAATGGACATCTTACAATTGCCAAAGCTCTCATTGAAGCAGGTGCCCGAATTGACGTAGTAGATAAAAAACAGCGAACTCCACTGATGAATGCTGCTCACAAGGGGGACCACGAGTTGGTGAGTTTACTGATCAGCAAAGGCGCTAGTGTACACCAGCCAGGAGCGGATGGCTGGACCCCGCTCATGCTGTGCACTCAATATGGACACAAAGACTGCATGCGGGTCCTGATTGACAACGGAGCTGATATTGAATCTGTTGATAAAGCTGGAAATACTGCTCTGATCATTTGCTCTGCCAATGGCCACAAAAAAGCTGTTTGTATGCTATTGGAGCATAATGCCAACCTCAATGCCCAGAACAATAAAGGCCAGACTGCTTTGATGGTGAGTACAAACAATGATCATTTAGAGATTGTTCAGTTTCTCCTAAACCATACGTCTAAAGTTGAAGGCCAGGATGTAAAAGCAAATCTGGAACTGCATGAATATGAAAGACTTGACACTGCGCTTATCATCGCCGCTCGTCGAGAGAGAACCTCCATATTGAAAGTTTTGCTGGACCAAGGAGCAGATGTCAATACACAGAACAGACACAACAGTACAGCCCTCAATATCAGCTCTCAGTATGGCTACAAGAACATTGTTGAAGACCTGTTGGAAAGAAATGCTGATGTGAATTTGACTGATTCAGATGGGGATACACCCCTCTTGAGCTGCTGTCTAAATCCAGGGAATCACTTGGTTGTCAAGTCACTTTTGACCAAAGGAGCTGACGTACATGTCGTCAACGGAAACAATGAAAGTGCTCTATTTTTGAGTGCCAAAAATGGCTGTCGTCGGATTGTTGAGCTATTGTTGAGCCATGCAAAGTATGAGCCCCATCAGCTTGAGCAGGCCATCAATGCTGCCAGAAACAAAGGTCATCAAGCAATTGTGGAAATGCTGAAGAATGAATCGGAGTCTATCACAGCTAAAACCACACCTGGTGAGCAATATTGTTATGTCCCTGTCCACAATGTGTCCTTTTTCAGTAAGTTTTTAATCATGCTTTAAGACGTGTTTCTGTTTTGTGAGGAACAGATAGTTGTCTTGGGTTGATGCATGGAAAGTGTTGCATTATACACCAGAACCTTTACTTATTAAAATGCCTATAAATATTTGTTCATGAAAAATAAAACTGTCTTCTAACCAAATGTCAACGTCAGACTTATATTAGACACAAACAATTCTTTTGTTTCGAGTTAGCAAATAATTCAGAGTATAAAATATCGACTCCGAAGATCCCCTTATATCTATCTTCCCTCTCTTTAAATCCAATGGGGTTTCACTATCCAATATGCAATAGTATGTACTTTTTCAGGGGTCTAGTTTTTTCACGCGGTGATCCCAGTGTTGAATTGTGTTAGTATTACTTTGTTTAAGCGGTTCCCGATAGGATTCCCAAAATTGTTTTTCTTCTTGAAATGTTCTGAGCATTCTTTTAAAACTTTGACAGATTAGGGACCGTTCAAAAATGACTTCAGCTAAAATTTGACCAAAAAAGACCCCCTCCCCCTTTATCATCTTCTGTCATCTTTCCCAGGACCCTCTCATTGCGTCGATGTACCTCTCTTTACACAGAAAACAAACAAACAACTGACTAACAAACAAATAAACAAACAAGCAAATAAACAAACACACAAATAGATACATTACCATTCTTGTGTCGATAAACACTCTCTTAACTTAAAACAAACAAACAAACAAATAAACGACAAACAAACAAATGACCAATCTTGCGTCAGTGTGTCTCTCTTTACCTAAAACAAACAAATAGACAAATGGCCGTCATTGGGTCGGTCTGTTTCACTTTTCCCTGCACTACTCCAAGGTGTAAAATAAAAAGAGG